GACTTCTCTGAATATATTCAAAATGCATTAGGGAGTTTGGGGGTTAGGGTTAGTCAGAAACTGGATTTGTACCCTAAAAACTGAAAAAATAAACCCAAACAGATGCCAAAACGAAGACTGTACACCAATAAATGGTAAAATGGTAAATGGCTTGCATTTGACATAGCCCCTTCTAGAGTCCTGGAACCCCCCAAGGCGCTTTACAACACAATCAGTCATTCACCCATTCACACACACATTCACACACTGGTGGGGATGAGCTACGATGTAGCCACAGCTGCCCAGGGGCGCACTGACAGAGGTGAGGCTGCCGAGCACAGGCGCCACCGGTCCCTCCGACCACCACCAGCAGGCAACGAGGGTTAGGTGTCTTGCCCAAGGACACAACGACAGCGACAGACTGAGCGGGGCTCGAACCTGCAACCTTCCGATTACGGGGCGAGCTCTTAACTCCTGTGCCACCGTCGAGAGTAATGCATCCGTAGCAGAAGAACAAGTGAGCTCTGTGTTGAAATGTTTCGCCCGCCTGCTCTCGATCTCTCAGTGCTGCACAGATATTGATCTCAGCTCAACATAACAGACCTCATAACGCGATCCGAGCTGCGACTGTACAGTGCATCCCTCAGTGTAACCCCCCCAAACCCATTCGTCATCTTTGACTACCAAAACAAATCAACACCGCCGGTCTCGCCTGCAGCTCTGCAAACTGCAGACGACCAGCTTTATGCAGCTGTCTGCCGCTAAATGCACATAAATGACCACAGTTCCTTTAGATACAAACACCAGAAACGCCATCGCTCTTCGTTTTCATGCAGCAGACAGAAATAGCGGCGAGCAATCCATAATACGCCGCTTTCATGACCGAAAACAGCAAAAATGTGCTTTTATCTGGCAGGAAAATCAGTGACAAAAACACCCTTGAGAAGAAAGTATGAAATAAACCTCTGAAGTTGGTCATGACTCGTGCAAATGTGAGAATCAAACGAGAGAAGAAAGATAAAAACAGGAGAAAACGTGGATAAACATCACGAGCATAAGGAGACACATCTGGATGAGAACAGGCTCAAATGCTTTCCAGATGCGGTCGATCTGGGGCCAAGGGCCTGGTGTGCATCGAGTATCTACCTTTAGAAAAGGGACGACAAAAGGTCGCAGCGGGAAGTTGGTGGCTTCTTGGAGCTTGGAGTGAAATTCCTCGATGGTTAGCGTGGAATTCTGGAAAAGAAGAAAAGGGGAGACACGTGAATCCACGTGGAAAAACATTAAGAGATGATATTACTTGTTGGGAGCTGAGCTGCGTCCCGGCCTGGAGCGACTGTTTCAGGGAGCAGAAGAGCAAAAGAACCCATTTTATACCGGAAAATTCTTACATTTATCTGGATTTTCTTCCATAAGAGTGTTCCCAATGAAAAGATATCTGTAAAATATCTAAATAAAAGATGGAAGGATGAGAAGCCAGGAGCAGGAGCGGAGTGAGTTTTATTTCCCAGACCTGAGTTTTGTTGCGATCAGTCCTACATCTGCTCACCCAGATTGTGTCGGGGCTCGTCGCGACAGCAAGAGAAGCCTCCCGAGCCTCCGCCGCTCCTTTTCCCCTCCACACAACCAGCTAATTAACAGTGTCACTCTTTTCAATAAGGCAGGAGGGGGGAGAGGAGAAGGAGAAAAGGGGGAGAAAACGCGGGGAGCCAAAAAGACGCAGGAGAGACATGAGCGTGTGCAGACGGTGAGAAAAATAAACACAGCGAAGCCAAAAGCAGGTTATTCTCTGTGTGACTAATTAAAAAAATGAAATAAAAATAATCCCCCCTTCCACTGCCTCCTCCGACTGTCTGCACAATGTTCAATCACTATTCTGCCTTCCCCCGCTCATTAGGCTGATGCTTCCTCTGATCACAGCCTTGATGGACCCACGTCAGCTGAGCTGCAGAAACACATCTGTTTAATCTCTTCTCTGCTGGATGGACGTGTTGCTGTGTTCATCTCAGTGAACGTAGGAAATCTGGGCGCCTCTTGTGAACGTCGGCAGCTCTTTAATGGACTAATCTGTGCAAATCTCACAATTAAATTCACTTCAACTTTTTTGGATAATAGTTTGGTTTAGAAGCACAAACATCAGCAGTGTTTACATCTGTGCATCGGTTTAAAGCACAATTAATGGTTATTTTAAAGAGCAAGTCACCCCCTGCCAGAGTATTACTCCACCCCCACTTCCTGCAAACTTCCTCATGCAGCCTGAGGAAGTTTGCAGCCAAAAACGAAACGTAGCGGGAAAACAGGTCAACAGAACCGCTCTGTGTTTTAAAAAAAGAACTACAGCATGGAACTTTATAGCTTATTTGCGAACCAAATTCTTTCCATCCAGAACTCAGCTTTCTGAGATACGGAGATTCTGAATACATTATATTCACACATGGGCTCCAGACACACCTTTAGTTCCATCCATCACAGTAAATGCTTAGTTTATCTGTCAAGTTTTAATTGTTTGTAACATAAATTCTTACTTTTATAAACCTGACTGTTTCTTGAATCAAAACGAAGCGTGTACAATTCCCTAATGAATAAAAGAATCCTAGAATCTTCTGATTAATCAATAAAGACTAGGCAAGCTGATATTCTCAGGGTTTCCCTTACATAGGCGTAGCCGTGGCGGCCCGCCACGGCTGAAATCCCACCGCCACGCCTACAAGATCCCAAGTTTTTTTTCTTCTTTTTTTTGGGGCGCTGTTTCCCGAAGAAGCAGCGGGAACTACTATGTCGTCGCTTGTGATCACAGCCGGCGGGCAGCAAGGAGGAGCAGCCAGGTCAAGGTGAAGTTACAGCAGAAGTTACTGAGTTTAAAATTAGAAAGGTAGCAGTGGATATAATGCTTTTTGGTTTACATGTTTCAATAGCATTAAGATAAACGAGTGTTGACGATCTTGACAGGTTCTCCTCCCCCGCCAGGCTAATCATCACTTATTCATGTAAAAAAAAATTTCATGCCTGACTTTAACCGCATCTAATACTGTATTACGGCGTGAGCGCAACAGCGACAACTTAAGATCGATGTGTAAGCAGCCTGAGAGGTCGGGTGTTTTCATCTGAACCCTTAAAACCTCCAGCAGGCTACGCTGCACTAATGACGTGTTAGCGCGCGGCGCTAACAACTTAGCGACGTGACATGTCTCGGAGAAAGCGTAAAAACACGTTGGACGCTTCTTCTGAAGACGTCGCCTCGGCTCATTCACAGCCGAGCCTGAGCTCGATAACATTGACCCAGCACAGCCACTGGGTCGTTGGAGCTGCCCCGTGACTGCCTGATGGAAAACCAGCGGGTTTCATCAGACTCGTAAAATTTCTTGTTTTTGCTGGGGACCCCCTGTATTTTACCGCTTCCTCCTGCAGTCTTCCCCTATTAACATTTAAAATGATTCTGTAAATTCTGTGTATCAATAGAAAAAATCTCTGCCTCTGCCAGCTGCAGTAAATGTAGTCTCCAAATAATAAATAAGAGGTGCATTCATCTGTGTATCTCCTTTGATCCGCATTAGTGATATTCTCAGCACCAGAACAGTGAAGCAAAGAAACAGATTCCTGAGTTTGTTAGTAATTTTATTCATTAGGTGCATCTGACCTGTGCTATTTTTCTCTGAAATGAGATCAAATCAGTGCTTCTATGGGTTGTCTCCACTCTGCACTGGAAAATTTTACTTTATTTAGAGACGTGTCATAATTTCTCCCCAAGCTCTGGAACAGCCTTCCCCTACAGATTACGTCTGCTAACAGCCTTTCTACCTTTAAGTCCCTTTTAAAAACCTACTTTTTTTACCCTTGCTTTTAAATAAAAAAACTGATTTCTTCATTCATTTATTTTACATATGGTCTACTGGATGTTTCTCAGAGTTTTATCATTTTATTTTTATTGGATGTGTGTGCACAGCACTTTGTGCAATTTCTGATAGTTGGAAATGTGCTTTATAAATAAACTTGACATTGACATTGATAAATCTGGCTAAGTGGTAAGTAGCAGCGTTAGGGGAGAGGTTATTATGTGGTGACGTGACATATGCAACGTAATGATTTCTGGTGTGTAGTCATGCTAATTACAAACTTTTACAAGCTGATAAAACTCAAAGAACGTGACTGGTGTGGTCGAAACACCCATCATTACTTTTCATTTAAACTACAGTACAGCATATGTGTGATCCAGGGCGTAAGGCAAAGCGGATTAGAAAATAGTTCTTTTAGCCCCGTTGACTTGCATTCATTTTATCGTTCTTCCGGGGACCCATGATGCGGGAGTGACTTGGGCTCCCTACATAACTGTGTATCCACAAGACGGCACTGTCAATCAATGAGAATGGGCCTCAGTTCCCAGCATGCACTGTGGGGTGATGTAGTCAGCTTAGCACACCAACCTAGCTTGAATGCTAACTGAATCTGCATTGAAGTTATGCTGTTTGGTAAATTTTAAATTACCTGTGGAAGAGGAGGGAGCTAGGGGAAGGAATAATGATTGATCTTTTGTGAATTGGAGCAAAGTGATTTGAGTATTGTTCAACCTTACGCTACAATCGGACTAATGTTTCAGCCTGTTGTAGCGTTAGCATGCTAGTATTGTGGTGTGAGGCGTAATTTCAGCTCCTTCCAGGAGTTGAGGGGGACCAGGGGCGGGAGCTATAATCTCCTCCTCGTCTCTTTTTACTTTGGTTTATTTTTGTGTTAGTTGGCTCATGTTAGTGTTAGCTCGTTGTTGGCGCTAGCTACAGCAGTAACAGTAACTTACCACAAGGCCCAGCACCAATGTACGGACTCGCTCGCCGATCTCCGGTGAGATGTCGTTTCCAAACTGCTGTAGTGTCGTGAGGAAACGCTTGAGCTTGCTGAGCTGCCGGGCGCCGCACGCCGGCGGCAGCTGCTGATTGGCCAGAGAGGACGAAGAAGACGAGCTGGGCCCGTTGCTGTAGCCGTTAGGAGGAGACGGGGCACCGTTGAGGGCTGTCGGCGAATGGCTGCTGCCGTTGGTTACTGAATAGAGATGAGAACATGGATGCAATTAATGCAAATTTATAATTCTTTAAACATAATAGAAGAATCTTGTAGTTGCAAATATTAAGGGACACCCAATGGATTTTCCCCACATTTGTTTCCAATTGCTGAACCTTGTTTCATCCCTTGAGGCAACCTCAGCAGAGAAAACTGTGAGGAAACACGTCGCCTCTCCATGTTCGTCTGTTCTCCTCTGCAGTCTAAACAAGTCAGGACGGTGGAACCCCCAGTTGGCCTATCCACCTCAGGAGAAATGAGTGTGTGTGTGTGTGTTTCTGCGTGATGGGGGGGTGGGAGTGGGGGGTGGGGGGGGTGGGGGGGTGGGGGGAGTTGGTGCACAAAGGAAATACAAGGCGGTGTAAAGCTCTCCCTTTAATGAGATTAGGTTTTGACTAGCGATACACTCACTCCCCCTCTGGCTGTCGTCCAAAGCCTCCACTGTAAAAGCGAGGATGCTCAAACCACATCTGGGAACAATTACGTCAGACAGAAAATCAAAGCAAGCTGCTTTGTTAAAACCTTTGGCCTGGGTAATGGGAGCCGGGCCTTTCGTCTGTCGTTGCACTGAAGCCTAATTGTGGAGCTTGTGCTCCAGAAGGAGATGCAAATAAAGAGGGATGAAGAAGGTAGAAGAGGTGGAGGAAGAGGAAGAAATAACTCCTCTGTGGCAGAGAAGAAGCAGGACTGCTGAGACGGACGCGACAGCCCTGAGCATCCTGAGTAACAGGGCCTCGGATTCCTTGATTCTAGTGCTCTTCACACGAGCGCTTAAGTATCCACTTGTGAGAGAATACAAGGGTGTGATTTGCTCATCAGATGTGTGTGTCATGGCAAAGCTCCAGGAGTCTGTAAGCGTGGGCGTTAATGAACTTGCTGAGGGAGCTGTTTGCTCAATAATAAATAATTTCCCTTTATTTGTTTTATTTTTTACGTTTTGTGGACGGCTTTCCGACCGTGAGCTTGCAAAGATCGGCTCAGCTTTTTAATAATAATAATAATAATGCATTGAACTTATATAACGCTTTTCTAGACACCCAAAGATGCTTTCACACACTCTCACATTCACACACTGCTAGTGATGGTACGCTACTTGTAGCCACAGCTGCCCTGGGGAGGTCTGACAGAGGCGAGGCTGCCATTTGGCACCGTCGGCCCCTCTGACCACCACTAACACAGACAAGTTGGGTGAAGTGTCTTGCCCAAGGACACAACAGCAGGATACCCCTGGCGGGAGCTGAAATCGAACCCATGACCCTCCGATCATGAGGCAACCCGCTCTACAACCTGAGCTACTGCTGCCCCTTTAGCTCTTCTTTAGCCCCTGGCGGATTATTGTCACAAATTCTCATCAAACCAAACTCCGTCTGTCCTTAAAGCATCCAGATGGAGTCGTAGGATTAGTACCTTCCTCAGAAATGATTCTTGTCCAGTCCTAAACACGTCTACTGCCCTCTAGTGGAGGGGGGATCTGGGTGGAAGGCGTCTATTTTAGGGGTGTGTTCTAATTTATCTTCTTTGTTAATTACATTGCAATTACATTTCGGAGTTCAGGAGTTTATTTAATAACTTTTCAGCACAAGGAGTCCAAAGCTCGATAAAGAAAACAAAAAACAAGGCTCACCACGCCCCCCCCCCCCCCCACCCCCACCCCCCATACACACACACACACACACACCACCACCACCACCACCAGACAGACAGACTCAGGCCAGGCTGCAAAACACAATACTCAATAGTTTAAAAACTCTAAGGCCAACCTCCTCCAACAAGTCTGGAAGAATCTTCCGGACAAGCCCCCATATGACACAGTCTGGCCTGTGGGACAGTAACATACACTGGGGGGCAGCAGTAGCTCAACAGGTTGAGCGGGTTGTCCAGTAATCGAAGGGTTGCAGTTTCGATCCCGGCTCTGGACAGAGAATTCTGCTGTTGTGTCCTTGGGCAAGACACTTAACCCACCTTGTCTGCTGGTGGTGGTTGGGGGGACCGGTGGCGCCTGTGCTCGGCAGCCTCGCCTCTGTCAGTGCGCCCCAGGGCAGCTGTAGCTACATCGTAGCTCATCACCATCAATGTGTGAATGTGTGTGTGAATGGATGAATGATACATTGTAGTGTAAAGCACTTTGGAGTCCTTACTCTGAGAGGCGCTATACAAGTGCGGGTCATTTATCATTTATCAGTAACATAAGGAGGACATCTGAACACATTTTAGGGAGTGTATGAGTATTTGATTGGAAGCAACACCCAAATGCCTCAAAAAATGCCAAACTACCTGGAGCTCCTGATGCTTTCTCTACGATTACCCGATTCTCTGCTTTAGCCTTCCCTCTGTCCTCATGGGTGACCCCGCGAGGAAGGCTCACCGTTGAGCAGGGTTGGTGGTTTATCGCTTGGGTCCATGTGGCAGGGGTGAGGTGGTGCTCACTCCTCACCCCTGCCAAATGGACCTCAAGTGATAAACCATCATCCCTGCTCAACGGTCAACTTTCCTCGCGGGATCACACCCATGAGGACAGAGGGAGGGTTAAAGTTTAACCAGGCAGGCACCCACAGGTGCAGCCGCTCGGTGCAATTACAGGCAGGCCAATGCAGCGGCAGAGGGGCGAATGCAGGGGCGCCAAAACATTTGAAATCAGCTTTTTACGATATTCGACACACAAATATTTTAATTCCAATTTCTGATACCCAAATAAACCAACACAAATGTATACGGGGTAAATAACATCATTTATGTCCTATATTTCTTCTTAACTAGCACCTTGTCTGCACCCGTCCCCCCTCTCTACTGTCCACTCCTTGTTCCCTCCTCTCCATGACTGATGTCAATTTGTTGTTGTTGTTGTTAGCCTCAAGGGCAAAATGCCGATTATCACTTGTAAGTCGCTTTGGACAAAAGCGTCTGTTAAATACATAAACATAAACATAAACATATATTTAAACTTTGTGCAAAATATGACTGCTTCAACTACTAATTCAAATTATGTTAGGCCAGTTGTACCAAACAAACAAATGCTGTACTTCAGGTCGGTCATAGTTTGAGTGAGAGAAGTCACGGAGGAGATTGATGTATAATATGTGCGTAGTATGTAAATGTTGGTCATTAAAAGAGTAAAAATGGACACAGACAATTTCTGGCACTACGTGTTAATGGCATCAACAACCAACAATGTCAGACACCTGATGAATTCAAAATTAAACAAAACAGATTTTATTTTTGTAAAATGTATAATAGATAAAATATTAATTATAAATATAGGAAACCAGATAGCAGAAATATTAATGGACTAGAGAAATAATATATATATATATATATATATATATATATATATATATATATATATATATATATATATATATATATATATATATATATATATATATATATACACACACACACATATATACATATATATATATATATATATAAATATAATATATACACATACATACATACATATATACATATATATATATATACATATATATATATATATATATATATATACATATATACATATATATATATATATATATATATATATATATATATATAGTTCTTCAGGAGATTGGGTGCTAGAGTGGATGATCAGGAATAAAATGAATTTTTTAGTATTGCTTTTTGGGTCTAACATCTATTGGGTACTTTACTGATAAGGAAAACACAAACTGCAAACTGCTGCGATGAAGATTCGTGAATTATTTTCTCCCCAATTTTCTCTGGTTTATTTACTTTATTTCATTTTTATATTGAGGTGATTCTGTTTTCCTTAGTTTTTTGTGATCTTAATTAATATTTATTATACTGTTTTCAGTGTTTTCTCAGTAATTTGTTTTTCATGATTTTATATGATTGTCAAACGTTTTTGTTACTGATATCACACTAGAAAAACATATGTCACGTGATTGCACGTCTCCCTGGGACTCCTGTGTTAAAGTTTTTGACTATGCCCTGAAGAAACGCGTCGGCTTATATTATAATAAATATTTTGTCGGCGAGCCTCTGATCATGACTTTTTTTCTTCCATATCTACTTTGAAGATTTGATGCTGTTTTAGAAAATTAACAGTTATTATCCAAAAACTAGATTTTTATTTCTTCATTGTGTCATTTTTTTCCTGCTTCAGGTTTTATACGGTTTTAAAGTGTTGCCGAGTAGCTTACTTACTACAGACCGCTTCCTGAACAGCCTCAGCTCAAGGAAAACGTACTTGCATCCTCCAGGATTGATAAGCTAAAGGCTAGGCTAGGCAAAACCAACAGCAAGTGTTGCTGTCATCTTAAAACCGCTCAGAGATGAATTTTCTTGTAGTTTTTAAACTTTCACACCTTCATCAGCAAAAACGATTTCTAAAATCTAAAACGTCAGCTGCCGAAGCTAAATTAATTAGCGATGCGTGTCGGTCTAGCCACGCTCCACTGGATCCTTCGCAGCCCCGGATAGTTCTGGTCCAATCACAGCTCTCTGTCTGTTTGGTGGGCCGGATGTTGCATCTTTCTGTGTTTCTACTCTTGCATCTATTTGTAAGAGAATAAATGTTTTCAGAGTCCATCTGTTTGTTTTGTTGTTCGTAAGACAACATTTAAAACTATTAAGCCAAATTTAATCCAAAGGATTTGGAAAAAAGAAAATAAGTTAGATCGCTTTTAATAAAACTGTGAAATCAGGAATTAACATTGGCATATTCTGCTCAGCTGACATCAATCTGTTCACTTTTACTCAGTTTAGCAGAGCAGAAAATAACTTTAGCAGGTTTGCAACTTAAAGGGCTTCAAGAAGCGATTGAACCTAGCTCGACGTTTCTGTTGCAAAGCTAAGCTGTTATTTTACTCACACGTGGTGGGGGTGTAGGAGCTGTTACGGGGTGCCCCCTGCGTGCTGGGTGGGGGTGGCATGGTGGGGGGCGTCAACCTGGACTGTGTCTTGACATCCGCAGGTGAGTCGGGCATGGTGGAGCGCTTCCCAGTGCGATCTGAAGGAAGGGGGAGAAGAAGAACGTTTAGGTGTGACAATCATTTTTTAAGTTTGACTCTTTTGTATTGCATTTTTTTGACATTTTTAAAACACTTTTTCCTAATTTTTTAAGCAAATTCCTAATTTAGGCATTAAATTCATACTTAAAGCACATTCAAGCGATTTAAAATGGCCGTTTGCCCTGTCAGGGTTACGGGTTAATGCCGGGGTCTGAGTCCTCTCATTTGGACACTATAACCACATCTGCTCAGCTGTGAAACACTGCCAAGATTTATTTTTAAAAAATCTGCAGCTGAATATTTTCTCTCGTGAGGTGTTTATTTCCACCTGATTCAGACCGTAGCAAACACGAAGTTACGACAGTCCTGCAGCGCGGAGGCAAAACCCTCACTGTGGAAACTTAGCTAAAACGCTAACAAGCCTATCACCGAGTCAACAAACTATTATCAAATAATGTGTCGCTGTGTCACAACGTGGAGCGGAGCTTATTTTTTAAAATGAGCCAAGAGGAAGAAGACAGGAGGAAGTGGAGCAGCAAAAGAAACAAAGGAAGCGTTTTAATCAGGGTGGACCCTCATGTACTCTATCACCCCAAATGTGTCCAGCTGTAGCGTTTAAAGTGATAGTGTGTATTTTTCCTGGCTATAGGGGGCAGTAGATATCTAAATCATTGCAAGCAAGCAACAAATCCTTTGTGTTGGAGTAAGACCTTACCAACAGATGCCCATTAGGGTCAAAAAGCCCTGGGGAGTGCACACTTTAGCAAAATGACAAGCACATCAGACCTCCTTTCATCACTGGCAACAAGTGAAGAGGTAAATGTGTAAAACAACATTTAAGAAAGACGAAAGTTTTGAAACCGTTTGTTACAAATCAGTAAATACATTTTGTCCTCATGGGCTCCCGTAGAAGGAAACATGGCATCTAATATGGTGTCGCCCAGAGACTACGGGTGTTTCTCAGTGTCAAGGAACCTTGCCTTGATGTCTTGGCCCCGCCCTGGTTACCTAGGAAATATGTCATCGGGATCCGCCAAGACGTGTTCCAATGTTCATGTTCTACCGAGGCATGTGTTCTCCGTTTGTAAGCCGTTTAGCTAGCTGAGCAAGGATACAAGGGAGGTGTCTTGTAGCCTAGCCTTGGTCAAAAATTACCCACAATTCACCGCAGTATTTTCAAAAAGACGGCGGATCAGAAGCCGGCAGCTACTTCGGGGACAATTTTCAAGTTTAAAAGTAAGTCAGCTAATTTAAAATGTTTTTTTTTTTTTAGATCCAAAGAAGTTATCTGTGGTTGGTTAGTTGCTTATTAGTTGCAGCTTCGGTGGCTAGCGGATAGTAACTCACTTATATTTTTAATTTAATAAACATATACACAATTTAAAAAGTAAAATGCTTGTTATATATTTATATTGAAACTAATACGTATAAAATATAACGTTGTCTCCCGTGTCACGTGACGTTACGTGACCGCCGTGGAAGCCGCGGTCACGTGATGCAAGTCTGTTCAATTTAACCGTTTTCTTTGACCAAGGAAGGACCGTGTCCTCGTAAGCAAGGCGCCTGGCCTCACAAGACATCGCAAGGCAAGGCAAGGCGCCTTGACACTGAGAAACACCCTTAGGCCCGCTCCCATGTATTTTAGAACAGATTTGTATGGTTATCTTATGAAGCTGGGAATATTTTTCAACAACTGGGCATCACTTCTTTCAGTTTCAACAGTAATTTGATGGATATCTCCAGAAATTAATTGTAAAAACTACACGTTGTCTCTTTAAAGAGATTCACTGAGAAACAGGCTGAACATGAAAATAGTCTCCTACACCTATCTCTTGCAGTAGCTTCTGATAGATAATAGACTGTGAAACTTTAGGATTAGTAAAGCCTGACAGATCTACGTCCCACTGGAGGTTATAGTAAAGCAGCATCATTGCTACTTATTTTCTTTTTCTTCCATTCTGCTTTACAAGCAACTCTTACAATTTAACGAATGTTGTTTTTTAGTTACGTCTGACAGTATAATTCCCACTGAGTTCCAACCAATCAGCGGGAGTTAACCACAAGTCCCGCCCAGCGACTGTACCGGCCCATTTCTGAGTAGTTAACCCCAGTTTGAGCAGGCTTTAGTCCCTGAAAGGGCCCGTAAAGTGGTCTGTTCAGGATACAGGAACACGCATACTGTGATGATCCAATAAAATGACCTGCAAGGTAAGAGGATCGAAATGGACCTTCGGTTGCAAAAATCCAAAACGTCAGTGAATTTCTCAGTAATCCTATTTCTGACTTAACATTTGAAACTATCTTGTTTATTTTGAAGCATCTTCTGCCCCTAAGAAACCTGATGTAACTAAGCGAAAGAATCAGCTGACATGAGATGTAAACACTTCATGTCCAGCAAAGTCTCTACGTTGGAAAGCTTTACTCAGGGTACTCCACTGAGCCTCAATCAGTTTTAAAAACATGAAGAAGCCGATAAAAAACTCCCATGAGCTTCTTGTGGTGGGATGAGTCCAAACACATGAATTATTAAAACAAACCCTCTGACTCAAACAGGAAGTCTGGGTTTTTTGTTTTTATTTATGATGAGTGAAAAAAAACAGATAAATGGCCTCATTTATCTTACTTTTGTGCATATCCTACACATATATACGTATATACATACGTACATATACACGTATATATACATACATACGTATATATACACATATACAATATATAAACACCATATATACATATACGCTATATATACATATATATACACACATACAGTATATATATACACACATACAGTATATATATATACACACACATATATATATATATATATATATATATATATATATATATACATATATTTATACAGTACAGTGGTGTGAAAAACTATTTGCCCCCTTCTTGATTTCTTATTTTTTTTGCATGTTTGTCACACAAAATGTTTCTGATCATCAAACACATTTAACCGTTAGTCAAAGATAACACAAGTAAACACAAAATGCAGTTTTTAAATGATGGTTTTTATTATTTAGGGAGGAAAAACATCCAAACCTACATTGCCCTGTGTGAAAAAGTAATTGCCCCTTGAACCTAATAACTGGTTGGGCCTCCCTTAGCAACAATGACTGCAATCAAGTGTTTGTGATAACTTGCTACGAGCTCTCTGGAGGAATTTTGGCCCACTCATCTTTGCAGAATTGTTTTAATTCAGCTTTATTTGAGGGTTTTCTAGCATGAACCGCCTTTTTAAGGTCATGCCATAGCATCTAAATAGGATTCAGGTCAGGACTTTGACCAGGCTACTCCAAAGTCTTCATTTTGTTGTTCTTCAGCCATTCAGAGGTGGATTTGCTGGTGTGTTTTGGGTCGTTGTCCTGCTGCAGCACCCAAGATGGCTTCAGCTTTAGTTGACCGACAGATGGCCGGACATTCTCCTTCAGGATGTTTGGGTAGACGGTAGAATTCATGGTTCCATTTATCACAGCAAGCCTTCCAGTTCCTGAAGCAGCAAAACAACCCCAGACCATCACACTACCACCACCATATTTTACTGCTGGTATGATGTTCTTTGTCTGAAATGCTGCGTTACTTCTACGCCAGATGTAACGGGACATTTGTCTTCCAAACTGTTCATCTTTTGTCTCATCAGTCCACAAAGAATTTCCCCTAAAGTCTTGGCAATCATCGAGATGTTTCTTAGCAAAACTGAGATGAGCCCTAATGTTCTTTTTGCTTAACAGTGGTTTGTGTCTTGGAAATCTGCCATGCAGGCCATTTTTGCCCAGTCTCTTTCTTACGGTGGAGTCGTGAACACTGACCTTAATTGAGGCAAGTGAGGTCTGCAGCTTCTTAGAAGTTGTCCTGGGGTCTTTTGTGACCTCTCGGATGAGTTGTCTCTGCGCTCTTGGGGTAATTTTGGTCGGCCGCCCACTCCTGGGAAGGCTCACCACTGTTCCATGTTGTTGCCATTTGTGGATAACGGCTCTCACTGTGGTTCGCTGGAGTCCCAAAGCTTTAGAAATGGCTTTATAGCCTTTACCAGACTGATAGATCTCATATGTTCTTGAATTTCTTTGGATGATGTCTAGCTTTTGAGGTGCTTTTGGTCTACTTCTCTGTGTCAGGCAGCTCATATTTAAGTGATTTCTTGATTGAAACAGGTGTGGCAGTAATCAGGCCTGGGCGTGGCTACAAAAATTGCACGCAGGTGTGAAACACCACAGGTGGGTTATTTTTTAACAAGGGGGACAATTACTTTTCCACACAGGGCAATGTAGGTTTGGCTATTTTTCTCCCTAAATAATAAAAAACATCATTTAAAAACTACATTTTGTGTTTACTTGTGTCATCTTTGACTAATGATTACATGTGTTTGATGATCAGAAACATTTTGTGTGACAAACAGGCAAAAAAAATAAGAAATCAGTAAGGGGGCAAATATTTTTTCACACCACTGTATGTATGTATATATACATACATATATATATATATATATATATATATATATATACATATATATATGTATATATGTATGTATGTATGTATCTATCTATCTATCTATCTATCTATCTATCTATCTATCTATATATCTATCTATCTATCTATCTATATATATATATATATATCTATATATATATATGTATATATACATACACACACATATATATATATATATATATATATATATATATATATATATATATATATATATATATATATATAGATAGATAGATAGATATATAGACATACATATAGATAGATAGATAGATAGATATATATACATACATACATATATATATATATATATATATATATATATATATATATATATATACATATATTAACAAGTTCTCAGACACGTGCAACTGAGGTGGAGAGCAGCTAAGCAGGATAAAATCAATGGTTTCATCCATCCACCGTGGAACTAAATCGATGACAATTATTTCTACAAGTTGGATTTTTTAAAAACCTAAAACCTCATCTCAAGCCACCTTGTGCATAATTC